TCCATTGCACGTGATGATAACTCCATGGTCGTTTTCTATGTGGGGCATAGATGTTATTGGACAAATTTTTCCAAAAGCTTCAAATGGTCATCGCTTTATTTTGTTAGTAATATACTATTTTACCAAATGGGTAGAAGCGACTTTTTATGCAAACATCACTCAGACCACAGTCTGTAAATTCTTGAAAAAGGAAATCATTTGTCTATATGGTCTACCAGAAAGGATTATTTCTGACAATGCTTTGAATTTAAACAACAAGATGATGAAATCAGTTTGTGAGCAATTCAAAATAAAGCATCATAATTCCACTACCTATCGCCCAAAGATGAATGGAGCAGTTGAGGCAACTAATAAGAATATCAAGAGGCTTATAGAAAAGATGATTGAAACTTATAAAGATTGGCATGAGAAACTACCATTTGCTTTGTTGGCTTATAGAACGTCAGTACGAACATCGACTGGGGCAACTTCGTTTTTGTTAGCCTATGGAATGGAAGTTATCCTACCTATTGAGGTAGAAATTCCTTCACTTCGAGTTTTATCAGAGGTAAAACTAAATGAAGCAGAATGTGTACAAGCCATTTATGACCAGTTAAATTTGATTAAAGAAAAGAGACTGAAAGCTATTTGTCATGGTCAAATGTACCAAAAGCGGATGATATGAGCACATGATAAGAAAGTTCACCTCCGAGAATTTTACGAAGGAGATCTCGTACTTAGAAAGATCTTACCTATTCAAAAGGATTCCCGAGAAAAATGGATGCCAAATTGGGAATGACCTTATATTGTAAAGAAAGCCTTTTCTGAAGGAGCTCTAGTTATCACTAAGATGGACGGGCCAGAATTACCCCACCCAGTGAATTCCGATGCGGTTAAAAAGTATTTTACCTAATTGAAAAAAGGAGGATTCAAGATGAAAATCTGAAAAGGATATCTTGAAACCAAAGGAGGTCTCAAGTTGAAAACCCATAAAGGGCGGCATGAGTGTTATAATTCAAGATTCATGTTTGAAATCTTGGATTCTTTGTTAATGATGCATAACATCTAGAGATTTGATAGTCAAGAAGAGATTTTACATCCTTAGGTATTATCACGATTCTCGAAATCCTTTTGACAGAAGTTATACTTAAATCACTTTGTGGCATGTCAGGTCAGAAGTATTTATGTTATTGATATGTGAAGATGCCTACTACTTTTTCTTGTACATTTTTCAATAAAAGTTTGCCATGTAATTATTTAAAAACTCTTTACATTTGTATAAATAAAAAGAGAATTTTCTTATTAACTCTCAATTTTGCAAGCATTTTGCTTTGAAAATTTAAAATATGTAGTTTAACTTGAAGTACATAAAATCATGGTGTATTATTGTACAAAAAGTTTTTTTTTTAAATGCATGTTTTCTGAAATTGATAATGATTTCAACTTTCAAGATTGTATAATGACATTGATACATGGAAAATAAAATTTGAAGTACCTAGAAAGTTTCAATCGTATGAAGATGATCCAAAATATTTGTCACATATGGAATAGTTGATCATTGGTACTAACGAGGTTCAAGAAGAAAGAAAATACTATATATGAGTAAAGATGAGATCAAGATATTCAGTTGAAATAAATCGGCCTTGTTTACTGTACCCAAAATGAAATGAGTCGGAAGATGGCCAATGAGAAAGAGTCCTTATTCGAAAAAGAAAATGCACTAAAATTGTATCATTGTAAACATTTTAGGCATAAATAGGATCATGATATTCATAAATGCATCATTTGTTGATATTTTAGGAAACATCATCCTTAGATAACCAGACGTCCTCATCACGAAGGAACAATGTTATCTCAAATATCTTTAAAGATGGCCAGACGTCCTCATCACGAAGGAACAATTTCATCCACATATCAGAACTCCTCATCATGAAGAAGCAGCATCATCCTTAGATAACCAGATGTCCTCATCACGAAGGAACCGTGTTATCTTAAATATCTTTAAAGATGGTCAGACGTCCTTATCATGAAGGAATAATGTCATCCACCGATCAGAACTCCTCATCACGAAGAAGCAACATCATCCTTAGATAACCAGATGTCCTCATCACGAAGGAACTGTGTTATCTCAAATATCTTTAAAGATGGCTAGACGTCCTCATCACGAAGGAACAATGTCATTCATTGATCAGAATTCCTCATCATAAAGGAGTAGCATCATCCTTAGATAGCCAGATGTCCTCATCACGAAGAAACCAAGTTATCTCAAATATCTTTAAAGATGGCTAGACGTCCTCATCACGAATAAACAATGTCATACACTAGTTTGATTTCCCTTGAATAAAGCGGATCTCTCATCAAAGCATAAAATTAACTGGACGAAAATTCTTTGTCTTTTGTCTTTGCTCTATTCTTGTTAACATAAAAATGAACAAAGAGAGGCAGTTGTCGATAGTCATTTTCGTCTCGTTATTATTTATATTGTTATTTATATATTATTATTGTATTATTATTATAAATATTATTAATAAATACTAAATATTATTATAATATATATTTACAAATCAGGACCTGGAGGCCCGTTTAAAAGTTCAATCCGAGTCAGGCCCAAAAATGATCCAGGCCCAAATAACCCAGTATGCCCAAATAACCCGAAGGCCCAACAAGACTAGATCCAGCAAAAAAAACCCGATTCTTCAGCAGCCAACAAGCTCAACCGTTGGATCTGGAGAGATCCAACGGCCCGAAATGAATCCAGTAGAAATCCTAGGGTTCACCAACCCTAGGGAGACTTTGGTGCTGCCTCCAACTGCTTCGCCTCCTATATTCAACTGCTCCGCCGCCTATATTCAACTGCTCCGCCGTTATGTTCCCCAACTAAATTCTGCCACGCCACCAAAGGATCCAGAAGATGCAAACAGGACCGTACAACTCATCGAAGCTACGGTGAGTCACCATTGTAGATCCGGTGACTCACCGAAGGGTTCAGCAGAATAGTGGCTCATCGAGGCCTATAAAAAGCCTTGAAATCCTGCAAAGAAAGAGGACAGGGAGCAAGGAGGAAGCAACCAACAAAGAAAGCTACGAACAACCAGCAGTAGCCATTTAAAAGCAAGGAAACAAAAGGGAGAAGAAACATACCTTTGTCGAAGCTCAAAAGTCGTCGGAAACCATTTTACCAAAGGTAAAATCTTAGATCTAGGCTGATTGAAAGACTTTTAGGGAAAAAGAGGGTGGTTTCGGGTTTAGGGTGTTTCGATCTACGATTTGGTGTATTTTTATTTTTTCTGGTCGTGAATAGTGATCGGAATAGTAACCAGCGGCGATGCATAGTGACCGACAGTGGCTGAAACAGTGACCGGCCAGTAGTTGGCCGGTGGTCGGAGCTCCCTCCGATGAGGGAATTTAGAGAGAGAAACAAAATAGAAAATTGAAGAAGAATAACTTGAAATGACAATTTAAGGCCTATTTATACCCAAATCAAAACTACGTCGTTTTGGGAAGGGAATTTTTGTGTAATTTTATTATGAGAAAACTCTTTCTGTGGTCCCTTAAATTTATAATAGTTTCAAATTAGTCACTAAAATAATGTTTTTGTGCCTTTTAATTTGGACTTCGCATTTTGTTTTATTTATATTTTAGTCTCTGCTAGTATTTATATATATTTAGGGTAAATATTAGATTTAATCCCTTAGATTTTAATAATTTATAATTTAATTCGAATATTATTTAGGGGTAAATTACACTGTTAATACCTATATTTTATTATATTTCGAATTAGGGCTATTAATTTATATATTTTTGTAAATTAATCTTATTTTTTAATTTCTTTTATTTTGGTCACTATTTTATTTTATTTTATTTTTTATTTTATTATTTCTCCTTTATTTTTCAATATTTTTAATTTAGAATTTTAATTTTTATCCCCTATATTTTTAATAATTTTTGTTTTAATTCCTTATAATTAATTATGATTAAATTACTATTAATACCTATATTAAATGTTTTGTTTATTGATTACAGATGTTAGGTGATAAAAAATATATTATATAAATATATTGATAATAATATCAACATGGGAATAGTATGTTATTAAAGCTATTCAACTACTCTTGACTTTTTAAATTATTAGTCACGCATGTAGTAATGTATTTAAAGATGATTTTGTTTAAAATATATATATTTAATTTATTAGAATATATTTTATTATTAGTCATGCACATGTAGTAATGTATTCAACATGGAAATATATTGGTAATTATTAGTCATGTTTAATATATATATATATATATTTACTTTATTTAAATTAAATTTTAGGAAAAATTATCATATTCTTATTAATATTTTTTTATTTTTTTATATCAAATAAAAAGGATGTCTTAAATAACTAGATGTCATTTTCTGATATTTTTAAATAAATAAATACCATATTTATAAAACACTACAAAATATAAATATTTACTTCAGTTTTATAAAAATCATTTTCTTTAGAATTATCTAATTGAATCTGGAATAATAAGATAGTAAATTAAATTTATATTCGAATTCTTAGACTTCCACTAATAAAGACAATATATAATCGATGGGTACCAATTTTGAGCGTTGTGGGAGTGTTAATCCTTCCCCAAACATAACCGATCACGAATCCTTTTTTATTACTAAAAGGAATGAATTTTTGGTTATACGCAGACTGGTTTTATATTTTAAGTAGTGTTTTATTAAAAACTCTTTTAAAAGATGATTTTTTAGGTATTCAACCTACCTAACCCAAAAGGTTCGATGGCCACTCCAAAACATTTAATTAAAAAAACCATTTATTCACCATATTTTTCTAGCCAAGGAAAATTCGTGCCCGGGAGAAAACCGGTTACGACAAATATGTTATTTAATTCTCTTACATGCATGAATGATACATTACAAAAGAAAAGTGTTATGGCTTCCTTGTAATGACACCATATATCTTAACTTCAGCTATTCTGGTTAACTGAAACTTTTACATTAACGGGTGAATTTGTGTATAGATGCTGGGAGAAAATCTCTATCCACTAGTTGAACAGCTGGAGCCTGATGCAGCAGCTAAACTAACAGGAATGCTTCTGGAGATGGATCAGACAGAGGTTTTGCACTTGCTGGAGTCACCAGAAGCCTTAAAAGCCAAAGTTGCTGAAGCAATGGAGGTTCTGAGGACTGTTGCTCAGCAGCAGCAGACTGGTGCTGCTGCTGCTGCTGATCAATTGGCTTCATTGTCTTGAAGTGACAACCTTGTGCCCTGAGGTCGACTACCTGCTAGAGTTTTCTGTCATAGTGTGGCCTCCTTGAGTTTGAATTAAGTGGCATCGTTCGTAGTTGGTTTTGATTCTATATTTTCCAGAGTGTTTTGGAACTTAAATACCACACTACTATGCTTTATAATTTATTGTTATGCGACTGAGAATGCATTTAAATCATACTGTTATCTTTAAGATTGAATTGATTCTGCCTTTTGGGTGAATAATCTCGCTGATTCGTTAACAGTATTGAGATTGATGTCTACTTTGGGTTTCATTACATCAAAAATCAGATTCTTCAGGTGATCCTATACGTAAGCATGTAGTAGAAGGAGATAACTTGGAACAAGTGGATACAGTAGAAAAACTGGGCTCTCATCCGCATCGTCACAATCACCAAAAGCCAAAATAACTAAGGAGTTTATATCAACCCTAATCTTTGTACATTAAAAGGCACAGAACATAACCAATATTCTGCAATTAAACACAGCAAAATTCATCTGGAGGAATCCGATATAAAGCATAACTTGAATATCCATCATAAAATATGATCCAATTTACCAAAAATTCAAATTTTTCTGAGGTGACTAAACAGAATGTGTAGCTTCATTACTTCCATCATTATCATCACCCATAATTTTTTTTTTTTTACTTTTTTTCATCCTTTTCCATTGTTTCGTTTCCTTGCTTCATTACTTTAGCTATTGCCGTTGATTATAAGTAGCTTTGATGGGTGGTCGGTGGGTGCAGTAGTGTATCCTATGCTTAACAAAGAACTTTATTTTTAAGACCCAACACACTTCTTTTATTGCCCCTCTGATTTCTGGGTTCGATGTGGTTTGTAATTTAAGCTACAACAATTGCTCTTTCACTTCAATCTCAGTTTCTTTATTTTCCATGATTCGAATTCAATGTTCATGCTGTAAATGGTGGATGACCATTAAGATATAGCTGTTCGTTGATGAACACTTGATTCTCTACATAGTCATAGTTGCCAGCTATTAAACCTTTGAAATTGATCTATAACAATGACCCAAGGATCAATATTTTTGTACGTTATAGGTACAAATCCAATGAAGGGGAACGAGATAGAATAGATAAAAGTCTAAACGAGAAGCTTGCTTTAGTCCTCGACTACCAAAATCTATACACCAATATTTAGACAGTGTGAAGAGGATAGCCAAGTTGGAAGCTGAATACCAGAAATTACATAAGGCGGAAGAAAAGAACAGGGTTCTTAAATCAATAACAATCCAGTCATCGAGTCTAGTATGTACTCGGACATCGTCTAGGCTGACACTGTTTGATATTCCATCCATGGAGATGGTAAGTAGTCAAATATCAAGTCAATTGTCTGTAACTTCAGGTTTTGATATTGGAAGTATTAATGGAAATAGCTTTTATTGCTCATGGCCTAATGCTTTGATTTCTGAATATGAACTATCTGTAGAGAGAAGAGTTAAGAATCCAATGCCAGCATATGGCCATTACGGTGCCAGAGAATCGATGAGATTCATGGATGATCTGGATTGTAGCAATCGTTTAAGTGTCCATGATTATGATGTTATCAATATTTCTGAAGAACAATCACCATGCTTAGACAACTTTGCTTCTTTGCATGACCGGAATCATAGTGTTACGTCCCAGAAGGACAGTTTTCGGTGTAGCCTGGAGGAAGAAAACAAGAGATTAAAAGATGATTTGGAGAATTATGGGAGCCAGGCTTGAGTCAGAAACTCTCAAGAGTGAGGCCTTGAAGATGCAACTTCATGAATCAGAAGAAAGCATTGGAAGCTTACAAACAGAACTTAAGATGTTAAAAGAATCAAATGAAACGATTGAAGATGAGGTTGGAAATCAGACCGAACTCACAGTTGCCAGAGCTAAACTGAATGAAATCTTCAAGAAATGTTCGTCTTTGGAAAGAAACACCGGAATACTTCATGAATCCAGAGAAGGAAGCAATCTCAAAATGTAAGTCGTTCAAAAAGTTTCCAATTTTCAAAAAGTATTGTACATTCATGAATTACCATGTCACCACATGAGACAAACGCAATTGAAGATGGGAAACAGATATCAAATACTGATGTCATGTCTGGGTTTTTTTCCGACATGGTTGGGAAATTACAGAAGCTTTAATCAAGTTAGCAGAGTGCCAAGAAACAGTCATGAACACTGGTAAGAAATTAAAGGTGTTGGCCTCATCACAAGATGCATCACTCTTTGACAGGGTATTCTCCAACAATTATGATCTGCTGCACCAACTGTTATAAATAATAGAAAGGTGAAGAAACGCTTCTTGCGCGACCGAATGCTAGCACACAATTGGGATAAAGAAGAAAGGCCCAAGTCTCCCAACGATGAAGCAGCAAGTTCATTGCTTCCTCAATCCAACAAGTGTGAGAACACGCAAGCTTCAGGTTTACTGTTAGAGACATCAGAAGCAGATCTTGGTTCCAAGAATGAAAGCGGAAACGTTGGAGCTATGGCTTTGGCAAGAGTGGCGAGGAATAAGCAACGAGTTGGTTTTCTAAGGAGGCTGTTCTTGCGAAGGAAGAAAGGTTACAGCAAGAAAACTTGACACCAACCTACTGAAGGGTGACCAGGAAACGGCAAAGAAGGCCCGGACAGAACTCCCCGGTAATAGTGAGGGAACTGAAGACACAGCCACTGAAGGCAATTACACCAGTAGTTTTCAACTTTTCATAGTGTGGTGATTGATCTTTTGTTTGATTTTATCCAACTATGAAAACACTCAAAACAGCCTATGACTCATTCTCCAGACCATTCCTGCACCCAATCTTCATCAGGTAGAGGGAAGAAGAACATATATAGAACCGTCTCAAATGAGCAACTCATAAGTGAAAGAAATATTTTTCTCAATACAAACCTATCAGAGTCTGCATTGATGATTTTCCAATCTCTCTCTATATATAATAATTGTTTGTCAAATAAATAAATAAACTTATTCCTATCTGAATAAAGTCATTCAAAATTTGGCAACTTATCAACCATTGGTTTCGTTTTACTCGAGCTCGAACCTAATCTCTATATAAAATAAAATTTGCAATTTCATTGAGACCAGCCTCTTTGTAACACTCTGCGATGCGATCTAGGTAGTCTCCCCAGGTTCCATCAATGGAAGCTAAATCCAACAGAAAAGCAGCCTCATCTAATGCAACCTGCAGAGGGGGTTAAGAATTAACTAAAGTCAACTGTCAACAACAGAATTAATCCATACAAATGATTTTCCCCTGTATCAACGGTTAAAATGTTTTATAACATTATTGTTACCAGAATGTTACCTGCAAAGGAGCCTTCCCTTTCTTCAAGTCTTCTTGTCTACCTTCTTCCGTCACCTTCTCTTTGATGTACTCAATCTGCTCATCCTCCCATTGTGCGATACCGGCAACCTCCTGAATCAGAACACATCCATGGAAGAGAATGTCAAAAGAAGGGTAACAGAGATTGAACTCAAAGGATAATGTCAATGATGAAGAAAAGTTCCTTGCCTGATATGTGCAGCCTAAAGTCCACCATGGTGATTTCAAAGCTACCCTCGCAGAATCTTTTGCCTCCGAGGTACGCCCTACCCTAGATAAAAGTATTTACGACATCCTATTTAGAAATTAGAAACAGTGAAGCACCTTGAATTAATATCAAATGATGAATTATAAAATCTTTCTACTAACTTAAGCAAAACCTCAGCATTGAATACAAAAGGCCTTCCAAATCCGGGAAAGAGATCCTTTTTTGTATAAAACTCCCCTGTCACCAAAGCAGAAACCTTCCAACACCAGAGTTTTCAAAAAGAAAAGAAAAAATGTTTAGCACAACCACAAAATTAAAATATGATATTAGGGAATGGAACCAAACAATTCTTACTTGATCCCCTTCCTCGAAATGTCGCATAACCTTCCGCTCTAACAAATCTGGAAATAGTCCAACCTGATTGTAGAACAATGATTTGCCACCATTAACAAACCTACTGTGAACACTGAACTTAGAGAATTGATTGTTTTACTTTGGACTTTTCCATTATCTGTCTAATGTACCTTTTTTAGGAGATAAACATCAAGATTAGAAATTTTTGATTCAGCAAAATCACCCCTAGTGTAGAGTTTCTTGCCAGCCTCAGATGAAGCATGAAACAATTCACCGTTACTTCCATGTGATCCGTCGGCATCTTCTTCAACTAGGATTCGATGGATATAATGGTCGACCTGGGTTACAAAAGATGGAAATAGTGAACTACTTTTTCTATGTATAAATTTTGAGAAAAACACTGCTGTGTTGTTCAATTCCAACAAGGAGAGCCGGGGCATTCAGTATCAATTATAATACCCCATTTAATTCTATTGCATGCTTTCAGCTTAATGTATTACATTGTTGGCTAAAAGCCACACCCCATGCTTGTGAACTTCCACAACTGGCATCTCCATTCTGTGCGAATAGCAACAGTTGCATGAAGATAAATCAAGGCAATCAAATCTTAGCCAATATATACAGATGTGTTTAATACAAATGTTGACATAGAAAAAGAATAACGATTCAAGTCTCTTACCCAGGTGGAGCCGTTGGCCACCGCAGCAAAGCAGTCATAGAACCTATTCTCAAGGAATAGCAGTTATATATATATATATATGCCTAAATCCATTCCCATCATAGAAATACTAGAAATTCACAAATATTATACGTGGAAGTGTGCAAAATATTATCTAACCTGACGGATTTTCTGATAGGGGAATGGCAAGGGGCATTAACCCATGCCTTGATCCCGGAGAAACTATGGTTTCACCTGTTTAAGAAGCAAATGAAAGATGGGATTTCAAATGGCATACATGTGGAAGTAAGAAGTTTTCTATTTTCTGAAATGCATGTTCGTCTCCTTGTAACTGAATACAGAGATGCAATGATAGGCAAAAACAAGATAAAGTCCATTGATAAATTTTAAGAGAAGAAACCAAAGATATCATCACCAAGCATTGTTTTAACAGGTTAAAATGAAATAAACATTTTATAGAAATGTGAAGATTTCAGGATCAAAATAGAAGAGAACACAATAAACGATCAGCCCATTAGGATGAACATGATCAGATTATCAATCTGCAGGAGATGCATATGTTCAAATAGGCTTTGCCTATCTTCATACGAGAAGTATCTGACAAGAAATATTTATAATGCTACACATTGACTTCACATATATCGACGAAGCATCAGCCAAGACAAGATGTCAAGACTAATCACAGATTCATGACTTCAACCAGTACGAGTAACTGTTCCCAGTGAAAGAATCACAAATCAAAGGCCCAAGGACCATAAACTCTGATTAAAAGCCAAATCATAGTGAACAACACCAATATTGTCCTAGAATGTACCATGTAATCAATGAACTAATGGTTTAAACTTAAGCAATAACATTAAAATCATGCAAAGTACATAAGAAATTCTTGAGTCAGTAGATTAACCGCTGCATACCTCTAGTCTGGAGCATTTTAAGCAAGTGATGAAGATTCTCAGGTGGTAGAGTGGCAGCAACATCTTTAATGAATGATATATGTCCTGCATTTGATTGACTAAACCCTTTTAAGTCGTCAAGCTCAACTTCACCAAGAACAATTTGAATGCAAAAGAAAAGCGAACCACTTGCTCAATCTAGAATCACAACTAACTAACTAGAAATTGGGTTCTGACCCTTTGCCAGCATTTGCAAGTATGGACACAGGATTTTATGTTGGGGGAACTTCTAAAATTTTAGGAAGGGATGAAATTATAAAATTGAGGCAAAAATATATTATCCATAGAAAATATAAAGAAAAAATCTAAAATATACGATAATTTAAAAAATTTAGCCCCTTCCGTCCATCCCTGATTTTACATCCATTTTAGCCAAACCCCAGTTCATTTTAAAATACCCAAGGTTCCTACTGCTTTTGTGATTGACATTTGTGAGACTAAACAATATCCAATAAAGAGAAGTAATAAAACTAAACTCAAGCAAAGAGATTCTCAAAATAAACAGCAAACCAAAACTGATTTGCATCAATAAACCCAGAAAATAGTCATTGCAGTAAACTAAAATGAACCCATTTTCTTAACAATATCGAATAGCTATAGCATTATCATGTGAGAGTGGCTAAAATCGAAGTTGAAATGGAAGGTATGATTTTACCAGAGGAAGAAGAACAAGTAACCCTGGCTCTAACATGGCGGAGAGGGAATGAGGTAGCACAAGGAGTTGAGTGCACCATTCCCAGCAGCCCAGCCTTCATGGTGCTGTTTCTATTTGTGGACTGTGATAGTATGTTGTAGCCTTCTCAAACTTCACGGTTTAGTTTTGCTTGTAGAGAATAAGATAAGACGCCCAACCAAACCAGATCAAACGTGACATAACCACGACCATTCATATAAATATATATATATATACTTTCTCATAGTTTTACTTGCTCAACAAAACTAATCAATTAATGTGATTAGTAACTTTTATATGGGTAAATTACTGGATAGTTTTATATTCTAATAATTTTACTCATCAAAATTTTTAAAAAAAATATATGTTTAATCACTTATATTTTGAATCTGTTAAATGTTTATCACTCATAGATTTTTACAATTTAATCACTGAGTAATTAATTCATGACATGGCAAGTTAGTTAAAAGGGGCTATTTCTTAATATGACCCTCAAACTTTATATAAATGTTAATTTGACTCTAAACTTTAAATTAAATTTTATTTTGACCTCTAACTCTTGATACATTATTAATTTGACTAATGAATTCAATCAAAGTCTTCCGTCTTCGGCCACCACTTACCACTATCATCATAGATCATCATTGGTCACCGTCGATCATCATCCGTCGTCAACACTGCCAACTATTTGATTCAAAAATTTTCAAATCACACCTTTGTATCAACCTTATTTATAACTTGTCAATTCGAATAAATTCGAATAACTCAAAAAAATTTAATTCAACTCGACTCGATTGAATACTTACCCTATGTAGCACCCTACACATGTTATATAAAGCACCAATAACTACACAAATTACGAACAACCAAATATACACAAAGAAATAAAAACACAAGAAACAAACCAACAACCTTTTTACTTTTCCTTTCACTGGAATTTTGATGTAATGATGTACAGAAATTTATTGATGTTCTATTGTACAGGAATTAATTAAAGTGTATTTTTTTTATTATTTTGTATTTTTGTCTATGCTTTTATTGCTTCCTAGTACAGCCTCCTTCATTTCAAGTAAGGCATCTTCAAAGCATTTAGCTAGAAACTCTGGATCAGGGATGATATCTTTTGCTACCAAAATTTGCATTTCGGCCTTACCAGCATAGCTCAACATGTGCATTGTTAACGCCTGCATTCACAATAACGAGAAAAAATCTATTTAAAATAAATCACCGATAATTTTTTTTAAGAAATCATGTATTTCGTTGATAGACTTAATAGACAGGTGATGATATTAGACAGTTGATAATACTGTAACATGCAATAGGGTGGTCGATTTCAACCCCAAGGTTGATAATCATGCGATAGGGTGGTTGTGTCGGTCCTAGGGTTATGATTATTGAAGGGTTGACATATAGGTAAATTCGACTTTCAAATAATAGATTTATTGGTGGTATGATTGACATCGATCACATTAAAAGATTGTAGTTAAGTGGAGGACATGACAAGTTATTTTCGACTGAATCCTCGGATATATTACAAATAACTTTAGGCCTTGAGTTTCTCGTATAAAAAAATGACAATAAAGATACACGAAATAGTGACAGCGGAGATATAATTTATGCAAGAGGTGCAACATATTTAAAATATGATTGTTGTTAGAGACTCGTTCCTCTGTAGTATTGGTGAGACGTGCATATTTCAAGAAAATAAAGTAAAAGAGTAACATGGCATGTATTTTACCTGTGGAAGGCTGGATGTGCTGACTTTAATGCTGGAGATTGGGTTGCCTGCAAGGGAAATTTCCTCTAGAGGGCCAACAACGTTCGAGATGGTGAAACTAGTGTTGCAGAGGAGTTTGTAGTTAAGCATACAAGCATACTGCAACATCAAAAAAAAAAAACAATTGATTCAAAAAGTATATATAAATTTGTATGTAATGTATCGATGGTGTATAATTTTATACCTTTGATCCTAGCAACGACATTACAAGATCCCCGATCCAGTACGAGAAATAAGCCACGAGAGAGTGTTTCTTCTTGTCAACAGTCGCCTTTGCTCTCTTCAAATACTCTAAAGGATCATTGGGAGTTTTGTGATAATAAACTGGAAGTAGAATCACACCAAATTTGTTGCCCCATCGTGCATCTGATTTGTTCTTTATTAACTTCGATAGGTTCTGCAACCCTGGTTGTGCTCTTATGTTAACCATGGATACCCCTGTCATACGAAGGCCCTCACGCAAGGCTAACAAAAAAAGAGAACTGATGAGTCCGGATGGTTGCCGTTAAAGCCGATATTCGTCGTCGATAGGGAAAAGAAGGTTACCGTTTGGTGTTCGATGGTCTAAGTATCTTGAGAGCCCGTATGAAACCACTCCAAAGAGGACATCATTAATGGTCTGCAGCATAGTTGAATTTGAGCGGAACCACACTGAGATTCAATTGCAGCTTTTGATATTTAGGGACTAATTTAGAATTTAGTCTACAGTTTGAGGTAGTGTCGGATCTAGAAATTTTTTAAGGGCGAGCACACGTGTATTAATAACATAAATTTTTCATATGGGGTAGACACAGATAAAATTTTAGGATGAACACCTTAAGTAAAATGAACTACTATAAGGATATTTGGATTTCAGTGCCCTCCCTGACCAAAGCATACATCGGCCACTGGTTTTAGTACGTCTTTTGCAAGTTAAAAAATGAAACTAAATATATATTTTAGTAATTTAACTTGGTTTCAAGGTTGCTCAATTTAATATTTGGACTAATTAGGTACATGAACTTGGGTTTTTTTAATCTAAATTAACACTTGAATTTAATTTTTTTGTTCAAATTGATTCTTACTATTTTTAACTAATTTGAATCGATGAGCCAAATTCAAGTTCCAAATTAAAGTAAAAACTCAAGTTTAAATCTGTAATTGGGTTAAAAAAATTAAGTATCAAATTGAACCTTGAAGTCATATTTAGGTGTCTAATTGGATAAAAAGCTAAAGTACTAAATTGAGCCTTAAAACTAAGTTTAGATACCAAAATGTATATTAATCCAAAGCCTTTTCAGTGAACAAATGGCAGAGTACTCCCCAATTTCCCAGGAAAAATAGCAGATTGAGTCAAATTATCCAACTGCCATAAGAGCAAAAGATCCAAAAACATTCCAAAAATGGTGGTAATTATGACAACCCAAATCAAACAATCCCAGGTTTAGAGTAAAAGAAGTAATATTTTGTTGTCACTTACAATATGGGGAGCAGCCCTTTTGACCACCTTCATGTCATCAAGCACAAATTTAGCAGTAACCAGTTTCCTTGGCCAGAGTTCCACCCCATCACCGCCGGTAATCACCGTTTTCTCGTCGGAAACAAAAAAACTCCTAAGCACGAACTCCATGGAAAACACCAAAGTGTGAAGAACCATCTTCAAGAACCACCACAAGGCACCGAACAACCAAACCCAATCCCTTCCTTTCCCGCCCCTAATCTCCGGTCTCTTGTCGGGAACCATCCTAGGAAGGGCGTCAGCATCGTCCTTCCGCCGACAACTGGCCATCAACATGGACATCAAAGAGATCCCATCGCCTAAAGCATGATGAATCCTGAAGACGGCGCATTTGTGCGCCGTCAATAAATGTAATTCCCACAAGGGTTTGTCCACGCTCAAAGGACAAGTCACTGATAAATCCGCCACGTACTGGTTCACCGCCGCTTCATCGGCTTCTTCGGTAGTGGAACCTTCGGGTTCGTCTTGGTCAACGAAATTACCCGATCTATCGAGCCGTTTATCGATGACGATTACGTGCCGGTCAAGGTCTATATGGGTTCTTCTCCAGTGCTCGAACCCGTTCTTGTCACGAACTAAAAGGCTGCAAAATCTGGGGTGTTGGACCATCAAGGAAGACTTAATATTCGATTTCATAGCATCTACGTCGCCCGGGCTTTGGCCGCGGAGGATACAGTGGATGACGACGTTTGTTTGCGGCTGGAGAAAAAGGCGGCCGGCCGGAGTCAAGGGTTCGTCGGAGGTAGTTACCGGGGAAGCCATGATGAAAGAAAAAGAAAAAATAGATTCCCCAAAAGATCAAAGAAACTTTTGCGTTGTCCTTGATATATAATATATGGTGCCTGTTGCCGGAAGCCCTGAAATAAAAAGAAAAAACGAAGTGATACCAAAACTGTAGGTGGCAGGTAGAAATGAATGTTCCTTGTATTACACGACGTGTGGTTTATACGATGACAATTTGTTTGAGGAAACTGTCCACTGATCTAACCAACCACTGCCACTCCATTTTTTTTTTATTTTTTCTGCTTAAATTCTTTTCCGCTAACGGAGATGTTTAATATTTTCAAAGATATTGTTTTAAATATCTAATCTATTACCACACTTAATTTTTTTTATCAATCACTTAAAATAGTGAACTTTTATATTTTTTTCTAAATGTTTTATTTTTAAAAAATTATTATTATTATTATTTTTCAAAAACCACAAAAATTCTCTAAAATCTCAAACTCATAAAATTCTTAATTTCAAAGCATCAGCATCACTCTTAAGTTGTCCTTAGTCTTAGTCGAAACAATTTTTTTCTTAAAAGCGACAGTAAGATTTTGAAAACCACATCATTTTTTAATTATCTCTTCATGATTAAATTTTAATTAAAAATGAATGTGATTTAGAAAACCTCTAGTTTCAAAAATTTTGGGATTCCTTTAAAATAAAAACATACGGTTCGAGGAGTCGTCACCAATATTTGATTAGGGTGTGATTGGTCACCCAAAAAACGTTTCGCCATTTTAAATAAAAAAATAATTTTAATTAAAACGACAAATTGAGGTCTACGTTATCAAAATCTGAGTTCGGGAGTCGGTTACATGAGAGGAAGGATTAGCACCCCCACAACGCCCTAAATCGGTACCTAGTCGATTAATTAATATATTTGCAATGAAATTTACAAATTCGAGTTTAATTTGGTTTATGATCCCCAACAAAACAACAACACATGAATTTTACAATATTCAAAAGCACCAAAATAGATTAAATTAAAATTACCAATCTTTTAGAAAGATAAAGAATATTCGATTATTTAAAATTATCGAGACTATATCTTAAATGAGTTATAATAACCTTTTTTCGATAAATTTAAATAGTCGAATATTTCTTTTTCTTCCATTCTCAAATTTTAAATTGATGAATC